TGAATTAAGTCAGTCTGTTTGGGACCTTGGTCTTTTTGCATAGCAACGCGAATTATATTGGTTGAACCAATTTGATTAAATCAGTCTATTCGGGACCTTGGTCTTTAGTGCATAGCAATGCGAATTATTTTGATTAATTCACTGTCAATTAAGTCAGTCTGTTGGGGCCTTAGTTAATCATTGAGATATCTTCAAAATAAAAATTTTTAATGGTAGAATCAAAGCTTCCTTCATCATCATCTATTCTAATCGGATCATTTAATACTCATAAACGTTATCCTCCTGCTGATCTCAATCTTTCTTCATGGTTAATTCGTCATCCTATTACTCCTCACATCATTGCTATAGGTCTTCAGGAATTACCCTCGGGTTTTTTCTTTCTTAAAAAAAAATCTCAAGATCAATGGATAGCATTAATCGAAAAAACTTTACCAAATTATAAATTACTTTCTTATATTCGATTAAATGGTAAAATATATTTTTTGTTATCTTCTCGATTTCCTCATCATTTATCATTTATATTTTAAGGAACACTTCTTTTTATTTATATTCAATCATCATATTTTAATCAATGTTCAGCAATTGGTACTGCTCGAGTTCGAACAGTTAGGTTTTATTGATTTCTATTTAAAAAATAAAATTATTTTTCTATTACAAAGGGTTTTATGAATTTATCTGGAAATAAAGGTGCTGTTGGTATTCGATTTGAATTTAATCAAACATCTTTATGTTTTATAAACTGTCATTTATCATACGGTGAAGATTCTAAAGCATTTCATTCACGAAATAAACAATATTCATTAATTCATCAATCAATGTTATTTAAATCTCAATGTAATCAATATCAATGGAATATAAATGATCATAATGGTATATTTTTCTTTGGTGATTTAAATTATCGACAAACAGTAACAAATCAAGATGAATTAATAGAAAAAACAAATATATTAAAAACATATTCAGAATCACGTATTAAATTTCCACCAACATATAAATTTAAAGCTAATTCAAATTCATATGATCTCTCACGACGTCCGTCATGGACAGATAGAATATTATATCGAGCAAAACAGTGTTATATAGAATCAATTAATTATTGGACAACATCGATGATTCAATTTAGTGATCATCGACCTATTGCTAATTTATTCTTATTACGTTGGTACAACTGCACAAGAAGGAAACCGTGGCACCCACATTCTTTGATGTACCCTATCAATCAGATCATTTAATGTAGAGAGTGCCGTTCTTCTGCAGTCGTATCGATGGCTTTATTAAATCGTTTACGGACATATTGGTAATGTATTGACATTAACTATTGCTTTCTTTTTCTATTTCCTTTCTTTTTCGTTTCTGTTGATTTTCCTATTTCTTTTCGTTTTATCTTAGCAATACGCCAAACGTATATATATGCGTGTGTGTTGTTTTTCTTTTCGTTCTTTCATTTTTTTTTGATTTTCTCATGATCTCAACTATATCTTGTATTGTTGATTAAGCTCAAAGAAACATTATATTTTAACCTTGATCTTGTTCTTTATTACGTATTAATATATTGTCTATTACGTAATAATGTTATCTACTACGCTATATCATTGTCTATTGCAATAGATATATATATTCTTTTTTTTTCATAATAAACTTAGCATTTACGTATTTACCTCAATACAGGACAATAACACAATATCTGTGCAGGTATATCTCAAATGAAAGAGCATTTGAAATGGTATAAATTGACTAACCAATCCTCTGCATGCATAGCAAAGCACTAGAATCAATGAATGAATGCAATGCGATGCATACTTTTCATATGATTCATCTTTCATGAAACTCAAACCGAAGAAATTTGTTGTTGATTTTCTGAGCTTGATAAAACTCCAAATGATTAGAGGAAACTTTGACAACAAAAATCAATCTGATTTTTCTGATGATAATAAAAAATGAATCGATCTCTGATGTTAAGTAGTTTTCGAAATATCTTCAAAACTAGCGTCATCTACAACAAAATTTTATTCAGATCGCCAGAAAGATATTTCATCAAAAGCTACACCAAAGATATTTGAAGTAAGAAAAATTAATTTGGTTTTTTTGTAAAATTTTTATCCAATCATTTTGAGTTTCATTAAATCAACTGCAAAGTAAATGTCGATAACCGCTTTAGTTAATCATTGAGATATCTTCAAAATAAAAATTTTTAATGATAGAATCAAAACTTCCTTCATCATCATCTATTCTAATCGGATCATTTAATACTCATAAACGTTATCCTCCTGCTGATCTCAATCTTTCTTCATGGTTAATTCATCAATCTATTACTCCTCACATCATTGCTATAGGTCTTCAAGAATTACCCTCGAGTTTTTTCTTTCTTAAAAAGAAATCTCAAGATCAATGGATAGAATTAATCGAAAAAACTTTACCAAATTATAAATTACTTTCTTATATTCGATTAAATGGTAAAACATATTTTTTGTTATCTTCTCGATTTCCTCATTATTTATCATTTATATTTTAAGGAATAATTCTTTTTATTTATATTCAATCATCATATTTTAATCAATGTTCAGCAATTGGTACTGCTCGAGTTCGAACAGTTAGGTTTTATTGATTTCTATTTAAAAAATAAAATTATTTTTCTATTACAAAGGGTTTTATGAATTTATTTGGAAATAAAGGTGCTGTTGGTATTCGATTTGAATTTAATCAAACATCTTTATGTTTTATAAACTGTCATTTATCACAGGGTGAAAATTCTCATGCATTTCATTTACGAAATAAACAATATTCATTAATCCATCAATCAATGTTATTTAAATCTCAATGTAATCAATATCAATGGAATATAGATGATCATAATGGTATATTTTTCTTTGGTGATTTAAATTATCGACAAACAGAAACAAATCAAGATGAATTAAAAGAAAAAACAAATATATTAAAAACATATTCAGAATCACGTATTAAATTTCCACCAACATATAAATATAAAGTTAATTCAAATTCATATGATCTCTCACGACGTTCATCATGGACAGATAGAATATTATATCGAACAAAACAATGTTATATACAATCAATTAATCATTGGACAACATCGATGATTAAATTTAGTGATCATCGACCTATTGCTAATTTATTCTTATTATTACGTTTAATTCGTTGATTAAAAAAAAAAAGTTCAAATATTTACATATATTTCCTTTTTGATTTTCTATTATAGATGGCTTTATTAAATCGTTTATGGACACATTTTAGTGGTGATACAAAACAATTACATAAACAAACAGATGCATTTAAAATTGGAATACTCGGTGCAGCTAATATTTGTAATATAGCATTAATTAATCCAGCAAGTAAATTATCGAATATTTTAATCTATGGTATTGCTGCTAGAAATCGACAAAAAGCTGAAGCATTTGCAAGAAAACATCATATACCGAAAGTAAAATTTGAATTATAATGAGTGCACCAGAATTAATATTTCTCTAAATATTTCGTCAAAGTTCATGGCTATGCGTTAATCGTTTTTTATTTAAAGAATTCCGATTCAATTTTCTACAAAAACGTATTACAAGTTTTGCTACTAAAAATGTTAAGCAAAAAACTTAGACACTACGAGATTTCAACATAAGCAACGTTCACGTATTCGTTGAAGTTTTCAACTAATGAAAAAGAAATGAATAAAACTCTTGTAGCACTTTAAAAGTTCTATATTAGGATAGTAAAATTTTTCTATTAATACTTGCAATGTAAATAAATTATTTCTTGTTGCAGACTGTAGAAAAATAAGCGACTTGAGGAGACTCTCAGAAAAATTTGTATTAATCGACGAAAATGAAAAAGAATCAATATAACTCAATTATATTTCAATTTCAAGAGACATGATTGGTGCATTAGCCTAAAATGGTAGAATTTGTATACGAGCTCTTTATTTAGGTACATCGTACAAAACAGACAAAATTTTATGCGTTTTTAGCTTAGTTTTTATAAAGTGATGTTTGCGTCAAAAAAAACAGTAACTTGATTGAAACGGACTTCAGTGTACATCATGAAAAAGAATGCACTTATGAGTGAACTACCCAGACTGATATCCATCGTTTGAGTGAGATCTCGATAAGAGTAGAAAAATCATAAAAGGATTCGTGTCCATCGATTTCTGAAGTCGAGTTATGATCGTTTTACTGAGTTTTCGATCCAACTTTAAGTATTTACCGAAAAATCAAATAATGGAATTTCGACATATAATTTTGCTCAACGACAGATCTAAAGATCTATTGAATATTCTGAAAGTTTCAGTCGAAAAGGATGTTTTTTGTTCAGATATTGAATTTTCAAGTAAATATTACCGAGAATCATCAGCCCTATCTATGAGTAAAATTTATATCAAAATTCTTTTCTTCGATTGCTCGGCATATATCTAAGACTGGATCGAAGATTCAATAAAACGGTCATAACTCAGCTTCAGAGGCCTATGAACAAGAACCTTGTTAGGATTTTTCTAGTCTTACCGAGATCTCTTTGCGAACGCAATATGAACTTCAACGGCAAGTATCAGTTAGGGTGATTTCCATGGTAGTAAAAAATGCTGTATTGTTTTCAAAAAAAACCTTTAAAACTTCGGTATGTTAGAGTGTCGCTGTATTAGTCATCTAATACTTCTGTTTAACATTTTGCAATAAAACTTGTGATATTTCTTGTGGAAAATTGAATTGTGAATCTTTTCTTTTTGAAAAAAAGAAAGATTAGGGCATGGTGATGAACCTTGACGAAACACTAAGAGGATCATTTATTCTGCCGTATCTGTTCAATGAGTTTTTTGTATTTAAACAAAAAAACTTTTTTTTCATTTTTAGGTTTATGATAGTTATGATGAATTATTAGCTGATCCCGATATAACTATGATTTATAATCCGTTACCTAATGGCCTTCATCATCAATGGACACTGAAAGCTTTACGTGCTGGTAAACATGTACTCTGTGAAAAACCATTATCGAATAATGCTAATGAAACACGTGAAATGGTTGAAGAAGCTCAAAAACAAAATCGTTTACTCGTCGAAGCATTTCATTATAGATATCATCCATTTTGTAATGAAACATTGAAAAATATTATTTCGAATAAAGATGAAATTGGTTCTATTCAAAATATCTCTGGTATTATGACTGTTTCATCTTCAATGTTTAAAAATGATGATATTCGATTTCAATATTCTCTTGGTGGTGGAGCTCAAATGGATCTTGGTTGTTATTTAGTATCAATGTGTCGTTTTATTGTTAATACTCACAATAATCATAATGATAATGATGATGAAGGTTCATTTGAAGTTCAAAAAGCTGAACCATTACGAATATCTTCAACAAATCCTCAAATTGATTATGGTATGAGAAGTGATTTATTATTAGATGGTATAAAATGTAATATTTATTGTGAATTTACAAATAATTGGTCATTTTTTAAACAACAAATTATAATCGAATGTGAACATGCAATAATAACAGTTTATAATCTTATTGCACCTGTTTTTTATCATTATTTAACTATACGAGAACGAAAAACTAATCAAACACGTACAATAAAAAATTATGCTGATAATCAGTCAACTTATTATTATCAATTAAAAGCATTTATAGATGCTGTTAAAATGATTCAAGATGGAAATTCAATTGATAAAGCATATGAAATAGTATATACAAGTAGAAAAAGTTCTATTCGTAATATGGAAATAATTGATGAAATTTATCGTAAAGCTGGACTTGTTGTACGAGGAACACCAATTTAATTACATGATAATTTATTTGATAAATGAAGATTTTCTTTGTATTGATCTATAGAAAAAATTTTTGTGTGTATATGTATTAATATGAAAAAAAAAGTATGCTTTTTCTTTTGTTTTATACTGAGAATGTTTTGTTCTGGAATCCAATTAATATTTTTTATATCATAATTATGAATAGTTGATCGTTTTTTATGATTACTAAATTTGATTATTGAAATTTCATTTTCATTTAATTTATTTGTTTGAAGATATTTTATATATGAATTACGTATAAAAATTTCATTTGGAAATATATCAAGAAAATCTTCACGAAGTTTTTCAAATATCATTGGAGCAAAAGAACCAAGTTCTTTAAAACGATTTTTTGGAACTTTGACAAAAAACAAAAACAAAAATCAAAATAATGAAATTATTTAATCATAATACAAAATCAATATTACTTGAAATAATATCGACTATACTACGAGTAAGATACCATGAATGAATTGTTGTTGATTCAAATCCAAAATAATGTCCATTTGAAAGAATAAATATTTCAAGAAAACGCCATGTAGTTTTTAGTTTTGAATTTTGTTGAAGATTTGATTTATTTTCTAAATTTGAATTTGATATGATTACTGAAAGATTTAAAGCTGTTAATGAAGAACAATTACTAATATTCATGGAATCATTTAATGAACTCAATATTGAATCGTTATCATTACTTGGATGATATTGATCTAAAATATAAAAATAAATTAGATTAGAAAAATAATCTTGTATACATTTAAATAAATTTTCATATAGTATATTTTATTGATAGTAAGACTAATACATCAAATTACTGATACCTGTTGTATTTATCTGTTTAATTTTTGCTTTATTATTCTTTTTATTATTTAATTTCTGATAATATTGACTGTATTCTGGATGTTTAATTATAATGGATGGAAAATCAAGTAGACGTACAAAAGAAATTTGACCATGTAAAATAAAATATAAATTTTCATGTTCATATTCTTCATTTCCATAAATAATTTCATCAATTGAATATTGTTTATAACTAGACCATTTTAACTACTAACAAAATTTATTGAAATTTATCAAAAAATAAAAATAATAATAAAAAAAACAAACTTACAATATAATTCAAAATATCATTTCGCCATTGAATACTACTAAATATTGATTGTATTCGAAATTGTTCAAGTAATGATTTTTTCATTATATCAGATAAATAATTTTCATAAGCCTTTTTATTATATATATATATAAAATCAATTAATTAAGAAAATATTCATTTATAATTTACTCTAATATCTCTTGAAAAAAATCCTATTAAATTACAATAATTTATTTCATTTGTTATTAAACCATTTATATGATAATAATTTGTTAATTGAAGAGAATCATCTCCATATACATCACCAATATTTAATCGATGACCAAATACTGTTGTTTGATTCGTTTCGAGTAATAAGATACATTGACATGTAATAAAAAAAAAAATCTCAATTTTTTAAAAGAATAAAAAGATAAAAAAATATTTAAATTACCATAAACAATTATATAAACAAGAAATGAAGGAAAATTTTGCCGAGTGAGGATTGTATTTGGTTGATAAGTAAAAAGTAAAAGTGAACGAGCTAAAATTTCAGATGAATTAATAATACGAATAAAAAAACAAACATCAATATTTGATTAATCAACCAGCATAACGACGAACATTCGTAGGTAAATGACGAAGACTTTCACAACGGTTCAATAGATGTTCTAGAACTTCAATATCATGTGTAGTACGTTGGCGTGGTGCCTCAAATAAAAAAAAGAGAATTTATAAAACACGATCTAAAAGAAGTATAGAAGTAAAAATTTGTACCTCTCCTCCACAGACTGTGACAGACGTTGCTGATATACGACCACAGACCGTTAGAGGACTGCAAGACACGCCATTTTGACAAATCTCTAATCTATTCTGCTGGTATTTTGACAACCTGACCTTGCCTCGAGACTTTATTTCATAACCTTTAAACTGCTCTGGTTGGCACTAGAGAAAGATCCAAATTAATGCAATTTTATTCAATTCGTTTCAATCATAAAGCAAACAAAAACAACACTAAATAGCTCGAAAATTTCTAATCACCAACAATATCTGAATTTAATGATTGTCTTCTTTTTTATATATAAAATTTGATCTGATGAACTGAACACATGTTCCCATATAGCTGAACTTGTAGGAACTTCAAAAGATTATTCCTAAAAGATCATTTGAGACTTATCTAATCTAGAACGTTTTATTCATAGTAGAATCAAAAGCTGAATTATAACCACAATTGTCTTTCACATCTCATGCAACTTGTCACATAACATTATTTTACACAAGTAAATCGTTTTTCTTTGTTTTTTTGGCGCCTTATTGACGATGTTAAACTTTGCTGTAGATATTACAGATGAAAGTTAAAATTAGAAAACTAAATATACATTTGAGTAGCCATATGTGTGAAGAATAGACTAGCAATACATCTGTTTCTGTTGAATGTTTTGCAGCCAATCTAATTTAGTTGTCAGGTTATTTGTACTTCTATCTTTTTTCGTAGTGTATAACTTTAGAAAAGGTCTCGACAATATCTAACGTCTAAAAATAGTCGCAAGCTAACCGGTTACGACACTTTTACGCTACAAGGCTCTACAGAACGTATATTAATAATGTCTCATTACATGATAAGACCTACTTTCTTATTGAATTTCTGGAGAAATATAATAAAAAGATGGTAAAGGGCAGTGTCTCAAAATAGATAGAATAAAATAATCTATCTGTGATTAACAACATCGTGTTTCACAATTTAATCCCGGAGAGATCGTAGTAACAGTTTTTCTTTTATAAATATTAAAGAGAAAAATTTTCTTTCTTTAATTATTAACCTTAGTAATTGCTGATAATGTTGCTTTTGTCATTAAACCACCAATTTGACGAGATATTCGAAATGGTTGAATAAAATGAGTAGTAGATTTTATTGTTTGTAAATTATTTAATTCCGTTGATTGTGAAATTGTTAAATTTTTTTTTGATAGATCTGATTTTGTTTCAATTAGACTACTAACTGTAGATAAATTATTAATGGAAGTTTTATCGTCTAAATTCATTTTTGATTCATTATTATCGAATATAAATGTCGAAGGAAATCCTTTCATTTTTAAAAATTAAAAAAAAATAAAACAAATTCTCTTTTTTTTTCTTGAATTCATACGATTATTTTGTGAAGGAAAATGTTTTATTGTATTATAAAATTGAAAAAGTACTCGACCAATTAATGGATTTTCATAAATACATCGTTTTATATGTTCAATATAATGAAGAATTGAAGAAATTTTTATACACTGTTGTTGTTGTTGTTGTTCTTTAGCCATTTCACGTTCGCGAATACATTGTCGAATTCGTTCAATTAAACGATTAAAATTTGATGTTTTATTATATATATGTGATTCGTTATTAACTATAAAACTCATATTTATTATTCTTGCCGCCTTTATGAAACAAAAAAACTTCGAAAGTGTCTGACAATATTCATTCTTATATAATTATCTTAATCATAAACAACGATATTTTATTGGAATTATTCATGAATGTATTAGAATATCCTACAAGTTTTAGTCAAAGCATATAGTTCCTTCTCGACATATTGAATACTGAAGAAAAGTTGACTTTATGACTGTTTTTGTAATATTTGATTGTTATTTTTTTTTGAATATTCGATAATTCGAGTAGGAACTATATGCTTTGACTAAAGCTTTCAGACAAAAATTCCTTCATTTTGATTTTTCCATGAATATCTTGATATAAACCGAAAATCCGATGAAAAACCGGTTATAGCTCCATTGAGAAGGTCTATGCGGATGAGTCCTTTCAGATCTTTTCTAGTTCCACTGAGTCTTACCTATGAGCAAAATATCACTTCGATTGACGATTAACAGTTGGATATGTTCACTAATAAATACTAACAAGGTGATTAATTCGAGTTTTTGAAAGAATTATCATTGCATAAATTGAATAATTAAAAACTAGAGAGAGAGAGAGAGAGCATTGCAAAAAAGACTTGACGTTTATTTCTCAATAAAAATCATTTTTATTTTAGTAATTTTCTCAATACTCTATGTATAATTTGTCAATTTTTTCTTCTTAATCTTAAACATTTGGTATACATCAAATAAAAGCTGCCATTTATGTGGTTATTATAAATATTAGACGGTCAGTACTAAAATTACCAGCAATTAATTGTAAACTGGTCAGTTTATTAAATATAAGTAGCAGTAAAAAAATTCAATTTATATCAGTAAGAAATACAAAATTTACCAGTAGAATATAAATTTAAATAAATCAGAAAAAACCACAGAATAGATAAGAAGAAATTTAAAGAATAATTGAAAAAAAAAATAAAACAAAAATTGAATTATTGTGTTATTAAAGTAGATTAGCCATTGCTTTTCTACCTCTTTTTCGTCTCTTACTGATCGGCGCTGTCTTTGCTACTACTGGTGCTTTATAATATTTTAAACGAATAACTATACCCACATACACCCTCTTTGTATACCAATCGAAAGACTATTGAAGATCAATTGAAAATCTTTTGTTTTTTCATTTGAGCACATTACTAAACCAAATAGATGAAATGCTTGATTCAAATCAATTGTTCCAATAACTAATATTGGAACACTTTGTCACGTACTGTCTATGTTTTTGATTACAATCGAAGTGTAACGCAGTTACACGTAATTGCGATTCTTTTATTTTAACTACGCGAAACTGCATCACAATTTTTCACATTTACGATTGAAATATGACGTAGTCACGCTTTAACCAACGTCATATTTCTATCACAATGGCAAAAAACTACGAGGCAGTTACGATGAAAATATCGTGGTTGTGCGTAATTCACGACTTTTCTGTCGTGACTACGCGTAACTACGTCATCATTTTTCGTAATTACAAGTCACAATACAATCGCTACTACAGCTTAATTGCGTCGCAGTTGCTAAAAATGAGACAATGTGGGCAATTTATCAGTAGCATCAGCAAGTATATTTTATGATGTAGATATAACGTTGAGCAAACAAATAGATGACATAAAGATACAAAATTTGTTTTCACTATCATCTCCTACATCTTCATACTCTCCATCATCATATAATATCTTGTATGATACAACAAAAGATTTGTTTTCACCAATTAGAATATTTTGATTATTTTCATACCATTACTATTATTTACCTAAACTTATTTTATGTGAACCAAATTTCCTCTTTCTATAATAGACAAGATGGTTATTTAGCTGTGCTAATATTGACACTTTTATTTTTCTTGATTGAAGTGCTCGAAGAATTAGTTTTATTTTCTTAATACCATCATTAAATAAATCTTCTATATACTTTTAAACATATTCATCAATACCATGAATTGCACTATTATGATGTTCGTGTTCAGCTTTCGTTTCATAAACAATTACTTTTACTACTATCTGCATGATATAGCAGATAAAGACTTGCACGCGACATTGAGGACCACGGCGTTTAACTTTGTTGCATCTATAATAAACTTTTCTCTCTCATCTTCTGTATAGTTTGTGTTATATTTTGACCATTGATTTTCAAATAATGCTTCCGCTTCGTCAATATTATCAAATGCACATTTTTTAACTTAACATCTTAATTCCTTTTTTTTCTATGATCTTCTTCCACTATCTCTTCATCTGATACGCAAAATATGTTATTTTTGTTTGAAAAATACTATATATTCATACATGGGAATAAATAAAGACAGCGACCAGAGAAGAGTTCGAGAAGCTTCTTTCCCTTTGTTATAAATAATGAACAATAAGAAGAATTTTAAAAAATTAATCTTCTGCTTCACAAAATATGTACGTTAAAAGAAGTAGATCAGAAGAATGAGAACATATGTAGAACAGCTGAAGAGAAAGGAAAAGAATTACGAAAGTCATTCATTCTATAATCATTTCATTTTTTATACTGACCCTTCCATATAATCGACTGTTAGTAAATTGTATTTACTGATTTTTAAATCTATATACAAATTTAATTAATTAACAAGTGCTCGTTAAGGTAGTTTACTAATTAATCATTTACTGACAGTTTCTTTTATTTTACTGACCACAAATCATATTCCATTAAAATAAATAAATATCAACATAATGATTCACATTTATTTATGGAGAAAACAAAACTATTCGCGATGACTAATATTTTCACTTTATTTTTGTTTAATATTTACTTTGATTCTAACCATATGTTACCCCCTTCTTCTATATCCCTGGTAAATCTATTTATATTTGTCTTTCTTATTCTTTTCAAAGCGACATCATAGAAGATGGTTAATACCGCCACTAACATCAGTAATAGAAATAGTAAAGTAGCGCAGCTCGTCTCTTACATTCCATAGAGGTGACGACGACAATTTTGTACTCAAATTATTCCTTCGCTTATTTTCTTCTTTTTTGCGTTCGTTTATATTAAGGGGTTTTGTTATTATCACATGAAATGCATTCTACCATTCGATATTATTGTATTTGTTTGCAATGCATCCTTTCGATTGCAATTAGATAAATATAGAATGTTTTTTTTTGTTTCCTTCATAGATATATATTTCGATGACATCAACAAATTCTGTATCAGCTACAGCATTAGCTGAACAAAATGCTGAAGATATTTATGAACAATATGAAAAATATTTACATGCTGGAAGGTAGATTTATTTCGTCAAAAAAAAAAAACAAAAAATGATTTATCTATTCTTTCTATTGTATTAATAGTGGTGGTAAACAACGTAGTAAAATAGAAGTAGAATTAAATTCTCAACATCATGATGCTGGTGGTGATACAAGAAAGATTGTTGCGGCAATGGCTAATAATGAAAAGAACCGATTACATGGACATAAGTGAATGATATAAAATTTTATCCATTTCTGTCACTTTATCTAATCATGAACATTTATCTTCGGATTTATGTGACAGATATTATTATTTTTCGTTCTTTTTTTTTTCTCTCTTCTTCGTTTATGATTTTCACTTTAAATATATATTTACATCAAAGAAAAAAATAAAAGAAACTTTAAAAAGTTGTTTTGTATATTTACTCTATATGTTGTATTTTTTTCAAATATTTATTCGTATGAATTTCCATTTTCAACATTGGATAATTCAATAATTGATGCTAAAGATACTATTGTTCGAATGAAATGTGCTAATTGACCAGGAAGTATGTAAACATTGTTGCCAGAAGGTTTACAACATAATTCAATAGATAATATTGTTTTACTTATAAAATAAATGAATTTGACTTGTGTACGTTTAACATATTCGATTGATGTAACACGTTCATCTAGTTTAGCTGTTTATCAATCATTTTTAAGACTTAATGTAATACTAGCTTTAAAAGGTTTTATAGAAAATAATCCATTATTTATAAATAAAAGTATTTCATATGTATTTGATTCTATTTTAAATACGCTTGGAAAATATAATATTTTAGTTTTACTTGATAATCATATTAATAAAGCTATGTAGTGTTGTAATGAATTTGATGGAAATGGTTTTTGGGGTGATCGATATTTTGATGTTGAACAATGGATTGATGGTTTGATATTTATGGCTAAAAAAACCATTAATCGTCCATATATTATTGGAATGAGTTTGAGAAATGAATTACGAGGTCTAAGACAAAATCTATCAGAATGGTATTATTATGTCTTACGAGGTATTGGTGAAGTCATATCATCAATTAATTCTCGACTTTTAATAATTATTTCTGATTTGAATTATGATCTTGATCTATCATTCATTCGATTATTATCAATACAAGAACTTGTGCCATAATCAATACAACAGGAAATAGTCTATGAAGCCCATTGGTACTCATGGCCAAATTATGGTCATTCAAATGAATGTAATAAAATGAAAGAAGGTATTAAATATACATGGGGATTTATCTTAGAATCCAATCAATCCTATATAGCTCCTGTTTGGTTAACAGAATTTGGTACAAATGTTGATCAATTTAAAGGTGATGATATATTTATTGATTGTGTTAAAAGTTTTTTTCAAACATCATTAACTAAAACAATGTCTTGGTCTTATTGAGTATTAGCTGGTAGTTATTATATTCGATCTGGTACAATTGAATCACATGAATCATTCGGTTTGTTAACAGATAATTGGAATGAAATTAAATTAAAATCATTTATCGATATTCTTTCAACAATGTAAACATACAAAAAAAAAATTGATAAATGAATGTTTACAAATATTGCAGCGAAAGCAAAAAGAAGAATATCGAATTTGTATGTCTCTCTCTATTGCTTTGTTTTTTATTACATTGTTGGCATTGACATTTGAACATCAACTGGTGTTGCATCTTCTTGTCGCCATGCTGAAGTTACTGTTTTTAATTGAGTATAAAAATTCATTCCCTACGAAAACAAGAAAATCCATAATAAAACAAAAAACAAAAAACAAAAAACAAAAGATATTCTTTTCTTACATTTCGTCCATAGAAATTTGTATCACCACGGAATGAACCACGTGAGCCAGTAAATGAAAACATTGGAAGTGGTACTGGAATTGGAACATTAACACCGATCTAAACGAAAAAAAAAAATCTTTCTAATTTTTATATCAACACATTAAAAAAATTTTCTCTTTACTTGTCCAACATCAATTTCTTGTGTGAATTTTCTAGCTGTAGCTCCATTTGTTGTAAAAATAGCTGTACCATTACCATATGGATTGTCATTAATTATTTTTATAGCTTCATCTAATGTATCAACACTCATTGAAACAAGTACAGGACCAAAAATTTCTTCTTTATAACATGTCATATTTGGCTAAGAGAAAAGCAAATATATTTATATATGTTTTTTAAATAAACAAAAAACAAAATGAAAAAATTTTAATTAAATTTACTTTAACATCATGTAAAATTGTTGGACCAACAAAGTTACCATTTTCATAACCAGGTACTTTAACATTTCGTCCATCTAAAACTAATTTTGCACCTTCATTTATACCAGTCTCAACTAATTGAAGAACACGGTCTTTAGCTTTTTTTGATATAACCGGTCCTAAATCAGCTCCTGCTTCATAACCAGCACTAATACGTAATTTTTTAGATCTTTCAACTAACTCTGGAATCCATTCACGTGCTTTACCAACAAATATTGCCGTGGATAATGCCATACATCGTTGACCAGCTGCACCAAATGCTGCACCAACAAGCTAAATATAAAAAGCAAGATTAAAAAAGAATAAACTCATCTCTTCCATATATACTTGATTTAATGCTTGTTCTTTATTAGCATCAGGCATAATAACACCATGGTTTTTGGCTCCCTGAAATTAAAAAAAATATATATATTTAAATAAAATAAAAAAAAAAGAACTTAATCATATTTACCATATTACATTGCACACGTTTACCATTTTTTGAACCACGTTCATATATGTAATTACCCTAAATCATAATTTTATGAATAAAATTTTATTTAAGAAAAAAAAAAAAGTAATTCGTACAGCTGTATCAGAACCAACAAATGATATAGCTCGAATATCAGGATGATCACAAATAAATGTAACAGCTTAAATAATCAAATACATATATAAACAAATAATTTTTTTTTTATTTTATTGTTTGTACCTTCATGTTGACCATGAATACAATTAACAACACCATCAGGTAAACCAGCTTCTTTAGCTAATTCAACAAGCATCATACATGCGCCAGGATCTTGTTCAGACTAATAATTAACTATGAAAATTTAAATATTATTTCATTTTAATTTTACTTACTGGTTTCATAAGCATCGTATTTCCACAAACAGTTGCTACCGGAAACATCTACATAAAAACAAAAATTAATCATAATTTTTTTTCTGTTTTATTTTTTTTTGTTCAATGATTACCCAAAGTGGAATCATTGCTGGAAAATTAAATGGTGCAATGCTACAATATAAAATTTTTATAAATTTTTTTTTTTTGTGTTTCTTAAATAAAATAATATATTTAACTAACCCAGCACAAACACCTAATGGTACTCGATAACTATGAATATCCATATCTTTTGCAATACTATGCATTGTTTCACCAGTTTGTAAAAATGTTACTGAACAACATGATTCAACAACTTGTAAACCACGTAAACATGAACCTTCAGCATCTGTTAATGTTTTACCTTGTTCTTTAGATATATTTGCTGCAACTTTTTTCTAAATATTTGTTTTTTAATTAATTCAATATGTGATTTTTTTTATAAAAAAAAAGAAAAGAAAAGAAAACTAACTAAATTCTTTTTTATAAGATCTTGATAACGAAACATGACTTGTTGTCGTTGTAATATAGTGGTTTTTGACCATGTACGAAATGCTTCTTTACAACTTTCAACAGCTTCATTCATTTCAGCTTGAGTACTTTTTGGTACTAAACCAATAACTTCATTTGTTGACTAAACGAACTAAATGAAATTTATCAATTTTTTATGAATAATAACATACTGGATTAGTAAGTTCAATCCAATCATTAGTTTTTGATTCCACAGCTCGTCCATTAATCCAATTTTTAACAGTTGGCTATTTAAAAATCGAATAGAAAAATCTTTTATTCAATTAAATTAAAATTAACTTACAGGTTTTGACGAAGCACTAGCACATCGAATCCAATTCGACGTCTAGATTAATTAAAACAAAAAACTGAATATAACATAACATATATAAAATAAAACTCACAGTAAGAGTTTTTACACCTGTTGTTTGAAATAATGAACCACATCGAGAACTAAAATTAATCATTTTCCTTCACTATATTCTAAATATATTGAGATCTAACAAAGAAAAAAACAAATAATATTTTGCCTATCTATTATCTCGATTTGTTGCCCTTGAAAAAGAAATAGGTAAAAATATAAAAGATAAAAAGTGGTAATGCCATATAAACAAATATACGCAAAATAAAACGAACGACGTTGAATCTACAACACACCCACTATTCCAGGTTACGATAAGAATTCACCAATAGATATCGATGAAGATCCAGCACCATACGTCGACAGGGCATTATTACTAAAGGAAAAGATTTATTGCTCGAAAAAACCACCAAGCAAAAAATCGTAAGAACAAAAGCATCATTGTAGAGGACAAAAATATCGATATGATAGACTTTAAATAACGAAATTCGACACAAATATATATCACTAAATCAAAATTTCTACTGCTTTCAAAGGTTATATAATGAAAGATAAATATCGAATCAATTATTTATTGAAGGTAAATGTTATCTTCTGGTGAAAAAGTTCTGAAATTTATTTTCAAATTTCAAATTTCAGGCTTAGAAAAGAAGCGTAATCTCATAATACAATTTTTATCTAAGACATATTATAATATAATTGATTAAGTATCATCACCTGTTGTGATTCCTTGTAAAAAACAATATTTTGCTTAATCAATAACACGTGTCCGGGTGATATCTAAGAAGCTATGCCACATGTAGAATTAAAGTCTCTATCGGTTGATATATAAATTCCATGCATTGAAGATACTTGAATGATTTCGAAATAAAATTTGTTTCTCTATTTATTAGTTCTATTCATTGATAAGATTTAATCAAAAAAAAAGAAAAAGAATATTTCTGCAGTATCTGCACTTTTAAAGATGGTACATGCATCTTTCTACCTTTTAGAAAAGTTCTCTTGCACTTCCTCTCACTTTTTTTAATTTCCTTTGCCACATTCTTACATGAAATTGATGTCAATCGATAGAATATTAAATTTTGAAATTATGACAACTGTTGAAATGATTCAGACACGGTTGATTTTAATATCAAGGTAGGCTATACAATGCGAGGATATCATATTGATGAGCGATTTTTTTTCTTTCGAAGTCGGTTTGATAAATAGAAATAATACCATTCGATAGAAAATTCAATTCTGTATCTAAAAGACGTATTTAATTTTTCCAAAAAAGGTTGAATAATTAAGAAATTTGACAGAATGAGTCTTATATAATTCAAGGATATTTTTTTCTTAATATCAACATTGTTCGCTTTCCTGCTTTCTAATTTCAAAGATATTATTCAATAATCTAATATCTATATAAATTTCTAAGCAATATGTTTCTTTGCTATCTTATCTATATTCATTATTTCTCTTTGTATGATGCTTGTCATGTATATTATAAATAAAGGGAAGTTTTCTTATTCTTATACAAATATTATATGATTGCTTATCTATTAAAACAAATAACCAATGTTCGAAGTGTAACAAATAGTTGAACATTAAACCATTGTTTATATCGTATAGAAAAGATAAGAAAGTAAAAAAAAAAAAAGATGTTTGCTATTGTTTATTTGTCTTTTAAATATTAACAATAATGAGTATGAATCATAATCGATGTATCAAACAACCATTGTTGAATGTATTAATGATCGTTCACAAACAAACAAAAAAATATCGATTGAATTAATGCCCAAAATTCGAAAAAAATACCTTTAACAATCTTAAATCAATTACAGCTCATAACTATCCAATGAACGCATTACGGGTACTCCGTTCCGGAGCTTCTGAAGAATAGCTCATCAGAAAAAATTGAAATTTTCGGAACAAGTAGAGCAAAAGTCGTCATAGATCCAAACTTTCCGAATGCTGTCTTCTACGAGATACTTGGATCACAGTGGCAAAAAATGGCCCACCAGCTCTTCGAGATGGTATGTTCGATCGAGCAAAAATTTTTTTTATTGGCACTAGACTGCTTGGCGTGGATATCTTTTTTTTTTTTTTTGATGATTCAAATAAAAAAGCTCACATATCAAAGATACCCTAAGAAAAGACACGCTTTTCTTGTGACAGCTATAAAATATCGACAGAGCAATATTTTTTGAAATCAAAAGAAATTTCCATCCTAAACATTGTATAGTATATGTGAAAAAAGTTTCAGCTCGATCGAACGTACTAGGCTGGAGAAACAGGAATGTTTCTATACTTGTTTTTATGAAAAACTTGGTTTACAAAAAGTGCAAAATAATGAAGGATTTTCACTAATTTAATTTCTTCTCGGATTTTTCAACGTTTAAAGAGAATTCTTGTATCTGAAAATGTGCTCAGTAGATAGGTACCACTTCAGAACATACACTGACCACAAAAGAAACAACAATTTTAGATTACAAGACGGAGAGGCATCCTAAAGCTGCTTTTATCCTTATTGATTTTTTATTGAATAAAATAAAAAAGAAAAACAAACATTTCGAGGCCATCATTGAATAAATATCTCATAATAAATTTCAAATAATGATCACAAGTACCTATGAAGATTGTTTATCATGCAATTTATTTTATGAAGATATTTTCATATTTAATGACATTTCAAATAGTTTCATGATAATATAATTGTTCAAGAAGAATTGACAACTCATGGCTACATCGTTTTTATAAAGAAGAACTCAATTTTATTATTATAAAGAATAGAAATAGGAAAATTACGTTTCTGCAAAAGCCAAAATGCTACAAAATATGTCAATAGATGAATGAAGACATATATTCTTAATTGAATTGAATATTAAAAATAACTCACATCAATTTTGTATACTATATTATTGAAAAATTCGACAGAAAAATCTGTCATATGTTTTATTAAGAAGAAAATAGAAATTTTGCTTATATAAGCTCTGTAAATTTCTTTTGTTAATTTGATCTTCTTATTTCTAATGAAGACATTGATTTGTGTTATTTTTTGTTTTTAAAACAAGTTTTAACATAAAGAAACAGATTGTCGTGATAGTTAAATATAATAAAATCATCATTCCAAATGAATGACATTATTCATATGAACGCATTCATTATGTCGAATTTATACTACTAAAATATTAAATGAATCCGAGATAATATATATGAAAAATATAATTTTATATGAAATTTTTTCTTTTATTTTAAGACAGAAACAAAGGATTTCTTTTTCTTATCTCAGAAATGCATTTCATAAAAATTTTATTGTGCTGATACAGGATGAATGTCGTATTTTATGACAAACATTGTAAAGAGTTGTAATTGCGTCTTATGAAAGTAGAAGATCCAGGATTATCAATTAGGAAGAAAATAACGGGAGCTTTCCCTTGTAAAAAATGTCGAACTTTCTGCAAAATCTTTTTACAATCTCCTGAGAAATCGTGATAGAAGGGGAGTTTTAGCTCTGGTCCAGATAGATTTTCATACGAAGACACTTTTTGCCGAATTGTCAGGCTCTTTCACCCTCAGAAACAATCGAGAACTTTGAGCAGATCTATGGTGCTGTTAGTGTCTACTTTTTTATCAGAATCAATAATTCGATGTGGTTCAGTCCTTTTTTTTTTGATTAAAAATAAAATTGATAATTGTTTGAAATTATGATTATTTCTTTTTTTTTTAAAGACATTGACTCATTTAAAATTTGTTGTTCTTGTAAGGTGAAATATCTATTTACTATATAGTAATTTAAGAAGCATATGTATTAATCAATGTTTATTTTATAGTATTCCATATTTCGATTGAATTCAACTAACTTCAACATTTCTTATTATTAAGACAAACTCCGATAAACAAGAGACAATATTTTTTTGTAAATCTGTCAATACTCAAATAAATTATTGAAAAATCTTCTATGTTAAAAAATCAGCTATCTCACGCCATCTGTTTGTTTTTCTGATAACTTAAAAATTACAGGTTATCGAATACAATAAAACTCATGGCAGTCGATTATTGATTGGAAGAAAAGCACCTTTTTTGTGTGTGTAACATTGGGATAACCTCAATAAAATTCTTTGTCTACCATTTTTTTGTCTCTCTTTCTATTCTGTCTTTCTGTCATAATTCAACTTGTATTACCTGTCAGAATACGCAATTGAATCAAAATACCCGAATATTCTTTATTTCGACATCAACAAGAACGAAAATTCATTCAACAAGAATTTAATAAATGGACAAAAAAATATTTTATTACAAATTGGTAAAATAAAAAAAAAGATTTAATTGAAAAGATTTTTTTTGTTCTCTACTAAGGTTTCGAAATAATATCAAAAAATCATTTTGAATATGATATTAATTTATTTAATCAAATAAATGGTTAGATTAAAATCATTTTAATCCAAATCATACTTGTTTATTTTGTCTTAAACAAAAGACTTATTTAAGAATGATACAAGATATTATTCACATACATCACATCATCAACAATTCTAATAGAATCAAATAATATTAATCGTATACTTAATAATATTATAATGATGGTGCAATTATTTTAAATATTAATAAACAACCAAAAGGTTTGAAGATTTACAAAGAAATAAAAAGATTTTTCTAGTCTTAATGTCATTAAACTATTTGTTTTAATTTCATTTTCAAATGAAATTAAAAGTAATAGATCATTTTAGTTAAAATGAATAATATAGAACAAATCATTACTTAAGCCCTATAGAGATCTAAGAAAAGTCTAAAAGAATTCATATTCATGAGTTTTTCTTCACGCTCGAGTTCAAATTCTGCATCACTCTGGCTCTCAATATGTCAGTCTCATGGAGAGTTTTATTGATACAAAATTTGGAAAGTTAATTCGAATCGTGATCTAAAGAATTGGCAATAGGAAAGACCAATAAGGAAAAAAATTATATCTCTGGTGAATGCTGACTCTAATCTTCTATAGTTTATTATTAGTGTATGAGCAAAGCAACTGCTATTCAATGTCATATAGATAATCTTGTTGAAAAATATCGTGATAATTTTATAAATGTAATAGAATATTTAGATAGTTTGTCGTTTACAGTTGCTAAA